TCAAATGTGTGGCTACTGTACGTCCATGCAATGGTATTCGTTCAGAAGTCACAGATCTCAGTGTGGTCTCCACCTGAGAAAGGCTTGACGGTGGCTACGAATACGTCCCATGAAGCTCTGACGCGGGTCGCGTCCAAGATATTCACCAAACCAAGTCATCATTACTGGCTATTTCTAACCATCTGACTACAACCCGTAACTTCAACCACAATCCCGAATATGTATGATGTATGTGAATTACTATGTATGTCAAGTCCGTGAGGGTGCGTGCAAAGCGAAGCAAAGCAAAGCAATTGAAGATGCAAAAGAGTCCGAATCATGGTAAGTATTATACTAATGTCCGTTCGTCAATTCGTGAATGTGTTCCGCGTGAAGCTAAAAGTCAAAGAGCCAAGTCAGGAACACAAAGAAGAAAAGATCAATCGAAAGAACCCACATACCATCCCAAGTTTAGAGCCCACAGTCCGAAGCAGAGGTCTGAACAGCGTCAACCTGGATGTTTCCAAGGTTGACCGCCTGTCCGTTCGTCAAGTCGTCCATGGCAGCCTGAGCGACATTGAACCCATTTCCAGCGTGATCAACTCCGAGCACGTTGATGCTCTTTCCGTTGTAAGTGACACGCCAGCAGCTACCACATTGGGGTGAGTTCCATCCGCCGATGGCGTCGACCGCTCCGATGTACGGGAAGCGGAGGAGAGAGCCGAAGGTCGAGAATCCACGGGTGAGAAGACCGTTTTGGCCGTCGGAGCAGGCAGTGGTGGCTAGGGAAGCACCAGAATCGTCGTAGTGGTTGTCGTACTGCAATTGGACGGCAGCGACGGAGGTGGTGAGGAGAGCGACGGCGGCAACGAAGAACTTCATGGTAGTCGTGATGGAAAGTCGGGTGGTAGTGGAAGTGGAAAGACTGGGTTGAGTTGAGTTGACTGGGGTAGAATCCGAAGTGGAACTGAGGAAATGAGAGGCCCTCGGACCAAGCTTTTATATCACGTCGCGGAAGTTAGATCCCGGAAAATCCTAGGGCTGCATATGGGATTTCGTCATTTCGCTGAGTGTTCCAAGGTGATCTATGCCCGCCTCCCGCCGTCCCGTGGAAGCATCTCGAATGTGTCAAGACGGTGCACACTGTACACCGCATGCGGGACTTCTTGTCTCTGTTGACTTTTTTTCTCAGGGAGTTTTCTTAGCCAGCCGAGCCAGGGTGCAGCGCATTTGTTTTTTCACATCGTGCATTGGCGGTCTTCAGTGGCCGAGACCTAGTAAAAGCAAGCTTTCAGTTCAAAAATAAGTGGCGGACTGAACAGACGTACCCCAGAGCCACCAAGGAGATTATTGCACGACGCAACGACTGGTGACGAGTAACTACTTTGACCGAGATGTGAGGGTTCCAATCCGTTTGAAGGTCTGTCGAGCCAGAAGGGTCACTGTGGGTCCGACAAATGCGTCTCACATATTTGAATTTACGTCACTAGTCCCTGCCCCCGTTGCCTCCGAGGCCAAGAGCTGAAACCGTCGATCGGGGCAATGATGACCGTATTGCGCTCAAAAATATCCGCCAGCTCAGACTCAGAGTTTCTTATTCACCGTCGGCCCACTTCGGTCATTCAGTTGCACAGGTATCACAAGTTCCGGTGATAAAATACTGCGAGAAACACATTCAAAAAGACGTAAAAGGTTACAGAAGCTAGCTTACTGACCTGGTTTCTAGGGCGTAGAAACGTTATTGACTAAAAACACATCTGAAGGAGAAACAAAGGGTAGAGTAACGGGTAAACGAATGAACGCTGAGTGACCAGAACACCGAACAGGTAAAGCATTAAACAAGACATATGTGGGTATGCGGTGGTACGAGAGGCGGCGCAAAGTACGGACGATACAGTAAGCTAGGGAGGATGTGAAAAGAATAATACAAGAAGTATAGGTTACTTAAGTTGTCCATCCAATGGAATAGATTAGGGTGCGTGAAGTGCATGATGCGGGAACAGCAATATAGGATGCAGAGAACAGACGCATAGCGATGAACAGCAAGGGGTCGTAAAGAGGTTCGCGTGAAGATAATATAGAAAGAGAGCGGTTGAGAGCGGAGGAACGGACGAAGAGGACGGCCTCATCCAGAAGTTATGACCTATCATGAACCCACTTGTATATGAGCTCGACGACCTCCTTCGAATGACTGTGGGTGAGATCATGCCCGCCACCGTCTATCGTTACAATCTTAGAATGGCAGCCTTGCACTTCCTTTCCATCCACTTCGGTGGGTATAGGAAGGAGTGATTGAATCTTGGATGCGTATCTGTACGGAACTGTATTGTCCGCGGTACCCTGGAAACACGAAGTTCAGAAGTATGAAGGGAGAGGTATCAACACGAGTCTTACATGTATGATAAGCAAGTTGCGACCTCTCCAAAAGTCGCTCTGAAAACTTTTCTTTTCGCCTCGCACGGGTCCCTCTCTCAAAGAGGAAGATAAGGCGGCGTTGTATCCTGGTAAAAGTGCTGATTGAAGGCGAACAATCTAAAAGAAGGTTCAGTGGTGTAAACGGCGACGACGAGTATAGCTCAACTTACCTCATGAAGCGGGTTGACCGGTTTGTTGGGATCGTTGGGGGAGTTCGTCCGCCGTTGAATAAGTTGCTGAATGTGACGTCAAGAACGACAGGTACCCAGGAATGCCGTGAGGTGCTCACCTGGGCGATAAAGCTTGACGAGATTGCTTGGATGATTGGCAAAGAGATAACTTTGGCAGTCCTTGGGAGATCAGACGACTACGAATGTGTTGTGTGAGTAAAAAGGGCTCCCGAGATAGAGATCTATGAACAACGAACTTGTATGAGTCCGGCAGAGGATATTAGGATTGTTCGGTCTTCAACGAGGTCAGGGAAATTTGCGGTGAACGCAGCTGCGATGGCTCCACCCTGTTCAAACCGTAAAGCCAGAGACATTGCGCCCTAAAAACTCAGCACGCACCATAGACAGACCCGCCACAACCGCCTTGTCCCATTTGACGTGCTGCATCAACAGTGCGAGTTGCGTTATGTACAACCTAGTGTCGTACGTCGTCTGGGGTGCATCTGAGTATCCTCGACCGTACAAATCTATAAAAGAGGCCGTCAGAGCCCGACTAGATAGCTGAAAAAAATCATAGAATTTACTCACCATAAACCAAGACACGAAGTCCTTTCGCTGCCAGCTCTGGAGCAACATCCCTCCATACAAATCCAGGTATTGAAAGCCCATGTATAAGCACAATCTACGCGTCCTTCAGAATTTCGGGAATTTTGAATTAAAAAATCAGGCGATATCGCGACTGACCTTCTGCCCATCTTCAGGACCGAATAACCAATATCTCGTCTATAAAAAGATATCTCAGTATCATTTTTTCTGCAGAATAAAAGTCAGGTCACTCACCCTTCCAAATGGCAACGAGACATAACCTCCCCCTTCGTAGAAATCGTCCGGATATATACTCCAAGACCTGCTTTCCCTCGGTAAAGATGCCAAGCTGGGATGGATTTGCAGTGACTCTGGTGGATGAGGGAACGAAACCAGGAGATATCCAGTCAACAAGAGCGGAGGCAGTACCAGGAGAGCATAGGACAGGCAATGAAGAGGACCGGTTATGGCCACCATATTGCCCTCGTCGTGGTGGTGGACGATGAGCGAGCCTATATCGGGCGCGTCACCGTCAGAAATTACGTGTAAGGTTCTGTTGGTTCGGGTAACACGTGCATGGTCGGTCCGGGGTAACGGGTAATAAGCGCTGGCCGATCAAGCAACCACAGGCTGTAGTACAGCCAGGGTCGTTCTTCGTAGAGTGGTGTCCTCGTCGGTTGAACTGAGGTAGTCTGAGGCCAAAGCACACCTTTGAGCCTTGATACTTAGGTTTGAGTATTCTACAAACTGCCAAGTTCGGGAAGAACTTCCTTGAAACTTCAACCCTTATTGAATATCTTGAAATGGACATTAAATCGACGGCATTGACATTCTGCCTGGAAGTTACCCATTCACTAGGCTCTAATAGGACCCAAAGGATAGCGCTGACATCGAGGAAAGGGATGTCATTTGACCGAAATATAGGGAGGCCCAATAACAAGCTGAATACTTGCTGTATGGCAGACTGAGATAAATACCAACGCCCAATTTCGGTGGATCCTATTATCCGACCTTTTAAGCCCCCGAGGCTCGAGCTCAAGCGCTCAGCGCTCATGGACGGGGGTTAGTGCTGTTACCCTCAATCTGCTCCGATTATTCACAGAGATTCAGAACATGATCGCTCCTGAGTACTTGAGTCTCGAGAGGGTACCTTGGGCTCGATCGTCTCGGTAAACTTGCGGGAAACACGGAGTTCAATGACTTTATTCGTACGATTGACCCTTCTCCGATTGAATAACCTGTAATGCCAACGGCCACCTCTCGAGCGGGTTTGTCGGACGGGAGGTCAAAGTGAGGCCATTCTGGAGCCGACGGGGGACAGAGAACTCGAAAGAAGATTCGTGATGCGGGGCTCGTAGTCTGGTCTTGACTACAACGCACACAAGGTGCGTTGGGTTGATCTACTAGGTGTTTAACACAGTAAAAGGATCACTATATGGGGCCTCGAGATGCCTCAGAAACCCTCAGGACCTGAAATTTTGGGTCATTCGCGGCAAGCACAACAAAATTTTAAGGGCCCTACCCTCCTTGTCGTCAGGGCAAACATGAACAAGAAACAACAGGAAGATGATGTTGTCCTCAATCCTCGGACTACTACTATGGTAGCCCCGGCTACACCAGTCGAGGAGATCATTCTTAAAATTTCGAGGAAATTTGTCAAATGAGTCGAGGGTTCAACCTGTGGCGTTACGAGTATACAACTATTCGAGAGGTAGAACCTAAGGCAAGAATAAATATACATTGGCTGGGCTGGTCCTCAGGTAGAACAATCCGTGATGTGATTGGTCGGACAGCAGCTTTGATACGAGATACCTGCGAGAACATAAAAAAGCTTTCAATCCACCGAAGCAATGACGAGAGTGGGATTCGAACCCACGCCCCGGAGGACCAGATATCCAGTGCACCTCACAAGGTGCTGGTCCTTAGTCTGGCGCCTTAGACCGCTCGGCCATCTCGCCATACTGCAGCGAGGGCTTCGCCGATTGTGATTCTCTATCTCAGCCTACCCCGAAGGTGCGTACGGAATCTTCCGTTGCCACAATATCAATGCCACTCACGCACAAAAGGGCACGAACAGCTCGTCAAGTTGCAGGCACTCCGTGAAGTTATGTGAGACGGAAACTCTTTGGACCTCCCACTGAGATGTAGTAGAGGTAGTTCCTCGCTCGGTGAATGCTGCACGTACACGATACATATTCTTTAAGGTGGGTACAAACCTTGCGATGATGCGCGGCGCTTCGAACGGTAATATATTAGTACAAAGAACAACGCTGCTAAACAGAGCCTGACTTAGCCAAAGAAAAGGCCCTGAGGTTATGATTCATGAGTGTTCTCAGGGGCGGTACTGAATACAGTGGACAAAACGAGTATTGTGGGGGACGAAAGTCCAACGATTCCTACTCCCAAACGATATGGGCTGCCTCATAACGGACGGTACGTTCCCCAAATGATCAAAGACTCATGATTAAAATCTAAAGTTTGGGTGACTGGGTTTTGTTATAATTGATCGTGGCAGCTGTTTTCGCAATGCGGACTTATGGAACGGGTAAGCATTTTTCGACAGAATCATTGGGATACGACAGCGCGAGTCCCGACCCGTACGAACAATCTCTTCCTTGAAGACTTCGTCGTGGCCTGTATCTGCCTTCACCTTCTGGTGAATGTGGTATTGATGTCTATCATTGGTAATAACATTGAGGTTAACCATAATCAAGCTTAGCAACTGATGCCTATGACCTATATTATTGTGTAGCCTTGAAGATTTCACAATCCGGGATTGCCAAAGCTCCAAACACATTGTAATACTCCTGTTTGTACTCGCAATATAACCACACGTTCTGCTACACAACGCGAATTCGATCAAACAACTCGTTTCAGGATAGAAGCCTGTGAGCTCTACATCGTGGCATAAATCCTGTTTTTCACATATGGGCTATTGGAGCAGGGTCCCTGAGAGGGGACATCGATTCTCATTCAGGTCGCGGTAAATCTCAAGGCCCTTGTGCTCGGATATGCCAACCTTTTGGCAGGGAGAGTCGCTCCTACCCTCCTCATGCTCAGGGCAAACCTAAACAAGAAACATGAAGAGGACGTCACAAGTTTCAATGTCGGACGTGGTGCTACGGTTGCCCCAGTTCTACCAGTCGAGGAATTTGTCAAATGGGTCGAGGGCTCAACCTACAGACGTACATCGGCGTTGAAGGTAGTCCCTAGATTGGAAAGTGTGATGTGATTGGCCGCAAGCAGCTTTGAAATGAGGGGCACAAAAAAGCTACACCCAAATCATGACGAGAGTGGGATTCGAACCCACGCCCCGGAGGACCAGATATGTTGCACACCGAGTGTGCTGATCCTTAGTCTGGCGCCTTAGACCGCTCGGCCATCTCGCCATATCAGCACAACAATGCCATCACAACATATCGACATCCAGGACCAGTAACGACAATTAAGGTCGTTCCAAGTATAATCGATTCATCCGACTTATACCTCAAAACATTTTGCAAAATCCCCATCCCCACCCCTCACGGAGTACCCCTGAGTCTCTATAAACCTTCCCAACTCGCACATACCCAATCCAGATATAGAAGAATCCGCAGGAGCACCACAAAACTCCAAAGGCTGCACCTTGTCGTTAACCAACACCCTCACATACGTCCCCACATCACCACAACCCAACCTCTCAACAACCATCGTAGCAGCAAACGGCGCAAGCTCGCTCGTCCGCCATCTCTTCCCGTCAATCTCTTTTTGAGGCCCGGACGGCGACGGTGCAGCATAATCGTCCAAAAGCCCAAGAGCAGTATATATAGCGATCATCTGGTTGTCGTGGCTGAAATCCGCGTAGATGGTCTTATCCAAGGGAAACGTCTCCGGTGACGACGTGAGCGTGTGGTTCGTCGTAGTGCTGTCGACGACGGGTTGGGAGGTGAGTCGAGCGATGAGTTCATTCACGTATCCGACACCTTGGACGCGTCCAAGGTTGCTTCCTGGGCTACCGAAGGGGGAAAGGCGCCGGTAAGCAAGGGAGGGAGGGGGGAGGGAGCAAGGGGAGGGGAAAACGTACCCAGTGTTGAAAAACTTGTCTACATCACCCTCATACTCAAACATCTCAAACTCCTTATGCGAAAGGGCCCCACACCACGGGCTTGTTTTGTGCCCACCGTACCCAAGCCCTTTCTCTCCGTCTCCATTGCCACCGATGGCAGCGGTTTCGAAGGGACACAACGACATCAGCGCGTAGACTTCGTCGTTGGTCAGGTTGGCAGAGGGAGCCAAGCGTGCAGCGATGGCGGGTGCGAACACGGATGTCCATTCCTGCGTTTGTTCGTCCGAGTCACCTTCAGCGGGACAATTGTTGTGATCGAGAGTACTGTTGAACGAGGCCTACGAGGACGAGGACGATGAGCTGGTTGAGAACAGGGCGTTGAATATGCGGAGATACCTCCTCTGGCATGAGAACCGAGATTGGAACCTCGGTTATCCTGTTTGCGTCGCTGAACCCTGCGAAAAGTGGTCAGAGAATACGATCCTTAAAGAAGAAAACTGTGGATTACTCACCAGCAGACCAATTACTCGCAGAATATACCACCCTCTCCGAAAGCGATGCTCTGATAAACGGAGGGCTGTTTTGGTTGGCTTTCACGAGTTCCTCATAGCGTTTGTAGGTCGTAACGCCCGAGTTGTACAACCTAGCGGTGTAAACAGTCAGTCGCAGTGCCCATAAGCAAAGTTCCAACCTACTGTTCCGCGCCCGAAGTCACCAAGTCTGCTACGCCCAGCACATACGTATAATTCTTCAAAAACGCAAGCGAAGGGTGAACGTCACTGCCGGCGGTCTTTAACTTCTCCAGAGCGGACATGATGGTCTTGGATGCACCAGAAGTCGGATACCGGGCACCATGTCGCTGTAGAATATGAACCTGTTGCTCTTCGTCAGTCGTGGTCAATGGTGAACGGCTCGAGTAATACGCACCTGATTGACCTGACACCCCCGAACTGGTGTCTTGTACTCCTCTACCGGCCAAGCAGGGGAATACATCGCCCAATTCCTTTCCAACGGTCCATCCTCGAACCCAGGCAAATGATCTGACGATGGCCCAATCCCATCCTGGCCCTTCTCCGATATAAAAGCTGGCGAAGCGACTCCCCGGTACGACAGCAAAATCAGTATGAACGAGACTACGACGGTAGACCCGATGAACATGACGACTATACGTGTCCGTCCTCTCGCTAGAAAGCGGGAAGAAAGAGACCTGGTTGCTATTCGCCACCATCCGGAGGTTGATAAAGCTGTAGTCCGTCGAACGTGGCTATTTCTGTGAGAATGACCGAAGGTTAGATACACGGAGCCATATGGATGGTTGACAGGGTTACTTACTCTTCAATTTCGAATTGTTCGCGAGGCATATGGGCAGCATAAGGGCGAAGCGGATATAGGATGTAGAACGGTCGTTAGAGGGTTTTCTGGTGCACGTTCGTCAATTGTTGGTAGGTACAGGCATGAATTCTTTCTACGAGATATGTCGAATTCAGTCTCAAGTACCTCAGAGCGTTATGACTGTAGAAGAGCGTACCTCCGGAGTTCGCGAGCCTGCGCGTAAGAAGCGTTGTCTTGACGAAGTGAATGGTGGGAGTGAGTGAGAGAGAGCGTGCTATGGCCTGCTATGGCTGTGCTCCGGCTTCAACACCCGCCGGACCGTGGCGATCCGGACTGTTGTTTCAACCGTCTTCGAAATTCGAACTCGTTTGCTCTTCACCCCCATTCCTTGACTTATCATTCTATCCAATCTCGACGGAAAAGCCGAATTTCTTATTTAAATCACCACAGAAGATATTGAGGCTCAAAACCGGCCTACTCATTTCAGATGACAACCCTACAAACCACCGAAGAAGCGGAGAAAATGATCAACTGGAAGGAATATGACGGGAAGAATCATTCGATCGCTAGATGGCAAGAGGAACCGGCTTTCAAAATTCCAAGTACCATGGATAAGTACTGCCTCCTGACCTGTTGTCGACAACACTACGACGAACCACACGCTCACCTCGTCACCGGAGACGTTCCCCTTGGATAAAATCATCTACGCGGACACCAGTCACGAAGAGTCACGACAACCAGATGATCGCTATATACACCGCTCTTGGGCTTTTGGACGCTTACGCTACACCGTCACCATCTGGGCTTCAAAGGGAGAAGGACGGGAAGAGATGGCGGACAAGCGAGCCTTTCGCTGCTACGATGGTTGTTGAGAGACGGTTGGGCTGTGGCGATGCGAGAACCTATGCGAGCGTGTTGTTGACAGACAAGGTGCAACCGTTGGAGTTTTGTGGTACTGGTGCGGACTCTTCTAACTCTAATTCTGGATTGGGTATCTGCGAATTGGGAAGGTTTATAGAGCGTCAGAGGTACTCGCCAAGTTATTCGAGGAGTGTGCTAATACGGTGCTGTTGTGGAGCTAAGTGAGCTCTTGAGTCCTGAACTCATCTATGCCTCCCTTCCCGGTTGTACTCATGATGTTCTGTGGTCACTGGGGAGACTGCTTGTCGAGGTGACTCGAAGTTTCAGGACGGAGTTGATTGGTGAATCCAAGAGCACACTGTGCGAGATTGTCGTCACTGGCAACTGCCCTCGGACAAAGGGCCCAGGCTTAAGCGTATGAAGGCGCTTCACGAGGCTCAAACTGCTTGTGAGTGGCATGTCATTGTTATACGGGTTTTTTCTGTTGGCTCATGTAGAACTTCCAGGAATACCACCCGAGCGCCCATTTCAGACTCCTTGAAGATTCACGATTTCTGTCATATCATTTACACGGTGCCAGCATCATTCATGGGACACTCCTTCAAACCCCTCGTCGCTATCTATCTTAAAAACTTCGTGACACAACCGAGGTGGACCGTGCCTATTGTGTCAAGACGGATGGTCTCATCTACGATTCAGAAACACTTCGAGCTGAAATAC